AAACAAAACAAGATGGGGTGATTCATGTAAACTTAGCGGGAGTCGAGGGAACAGCACTGCACGGAAACACAGCCGACTTTATGAGGGGAAACATGCAATATTTGACAAACAGTTTCTCATTTAAACAAAGTTCCGGTCTTTCTTCTCCCCTCTCTCGACTCTCTGCTACAAAAGAAAATTAAAACCCGGTAGTCAGAGTAAAGCTGAGCCATTTGTGAAGTTTAGACATCTGCGGTCCTGGCACATTCAAATGAATCCCAGAACTGTTGGCGGCGGCATCTCATAGCAGCGGCGCGCCATCCGACTCAGAACAATATTGAGTCGAGCATAAAAGGAAGCCTGTACACTCAGCAGTTCTTAGCGTATGATTCCAACCAAAAACGTGGTATTGTTAAGTATCGTTACGATCGGGGCGAAGCGTCTTGTAACGAAATCTAAATCTCGAATGCGAAAAATCTTTTAACTTTAGGGGCCTCGCCGTTACTGTGTTTGTGAGGTAGTTCTCCCTTTATGGTATTTTAAAATAATTATTTAGGACCATACGTCTCTTAATGGCTAAGTACAATGTCAACCAGTGTCAGAGTTAACGCTTTTTATAACACAAATGGATCTCAATTAGGATTTCATTTGTTTGTGAATAAATATAGTATGTAGTCAATTTCGCCAAGACCTTTCCATTACTGAATAATCAGTGTGCGTCTTGTGGAAATAAAAAATATCATGTTTTGCATCATGTTTCGTTGTTAAATTTACTTCAATACTGATGCATATTTAAACGGCTCAAACCAGGAAACAGTGACAATTCAGAACAAAACAATACAATTCAAAGGACTAGCAAATCACCCTTGTTAGGCAAATCTAAGAAACATCTGCTCCTGTTTTACCGCAAAACGGACTCAGTAGTTCTAGTTACAGTAGTTCATAGACAAAGGTACGTACAGTTATTGTCAGCCACTTTTCAGCTAATTTTGCATCTATACTAACTCTCCCGGATTATCGGGTAGTCTCTCTGGAGGTCGAGTTACCAAATCTCCCGGATACCAAAGACACCAAAGCCATGATGTTTAGCACATAGTATTTTCACACTTATTTTGGCCGAGTTGGGAAATTTTACGGGATATTATATATGACATGTTTACCTGGTTGAATCGGCTAAACTCAATTATGTATTATGTTTTTAGGGTCGAGAAGAGGCAAAATTAGCAAGCTCCCAGATTTCGATTCCTTTCACTGCCTTTGTGAGTGTAAATCAGTTTTGCCGTTGAAAGAAAGGAAGAATTTCATTCGGTTCAGTTAAAATTAAAAACATTTAGTTTTATTGTATTTACAAATTTTCAACAAGCAAAATTGTATTCTTTTCAAAATCTCAGCCTCGAGTTTATTCTTAAAATATTCCTAAAATTTTGCAAATTTCAGGCTCGATATTCTTATAAAATGTATTCTTATAAAAAGGAAAGAGTGTACGTAATCGATGAGGAGGATTGATATCTGTTCGTCGCTTAAATCTATCTTTTCGTCTATCTGTTGGTCGCTTAAATCAATAAAGAAACCTTTCTCAAATGAACCTCATTACAGACTCATATGGAAACGAAAGTCGGTTCCATAAATTTGGAGTCCACATGATCAAAGGTTACGTCGAATGATCTCCCAAAACCCGCCCTGCCGAGAGACCTGACACCTAGCTTGACCCCTTAGTGATGTTAACTCAAAGCATTTAGTCAGTTAACTAGACCGTGGTTCGGATGGCAAACTGAGGACATTTTCAAAACAGAAAAACTTTCAGGGACACCGATTTGATGGTAAATACAAATATGTATTTACCAGCAAACGTAATATCCAGACATAGTGGAAGACACTAATGTCACATCGGCAAACCGAACCTAGTGGAAACAGGCTGGGTAATAAGCCCTTTGCACGATCCGGTCACATGGTACAAAATCACATATGCTGGTGAGCAAGTTGCGCAGTGGGACTTCCAAAACAAAGGCAGGTCCGGGTGGACTGGTACAAGCTGCATTGTTTTGGAATTCCCACTGTGCAACTTGAACACCAGCATGTGTGATTTTTTACTATGTGACCGGATCGTCAGCATTATTTACATTCTCGTCCCTAGAGACCACGTTCCTTTTGTTCAGTACCAAGACCAAGACCAAGAGTATTTGTTTCGTATTCTTAGCCAATCAGATTTGCCAGATTTGACGGTGTCTCTGCGCATGCTTAGAAAATCAGGTCCGGCCAAAGGTTGCGATTCTTGGTGCTGACCAAAAGGAGCACGGCCTCTGGGGATAAGAATGCATTATTTATTATTTCCTCTCCCCTTCCGATGACTTTTGTTGAACATTAGCAAACCCCTTCAATCAAATGTTCGCGCAGGAGTCTCAAGCTTCTTTGGAGCTGTTAAACCATTTTAATCATGTTTAATGTATGACACTCGTGTAACACAGCGTAAATGTAAGAATGGTATGGGAATGCAACGATCGTATATAACAGTTCGCGAAAACAAAAACGACTTATCTCGACTTTTCTGTATGAACGTTCGCTTCCTGCTGAAAAATTCAAGCTGAGAGAACTCACCCATTTTTCAGAAAAGGTCAAACTCGCCTATACAGCGAGCCAATCAGAAACTAGAAATTAATTATTTGTTCTATTATGCAATTCGTCTGAAGGAATATAATGCAAATCAGTTCTCATCCAATGAAGACTGTAACTGACGATGATATAAGTTATGCCTGAAAGTGTAATATACTGAAGAGCGTCGTCTTCTGGGGAATATCAAGTCAAAGATGTTTTTACTGGCACCATGCCTCATTATTCTTAAGCTGATGAACATTGTGGAATGTGCGACATGTCAAGTAAAGGGCATTGTGAACTATTCAAGTTTGTCGTCGACCAAGATGTTGTCCATGACAGCACACTGGAGGGTCAAGTGATTAAAAGAATCACTGTGAAGAGCGCCGCTCAGTATCACATGGAGTGTTGAGACGAGTGTCTGTGTGTCTCTGTAAACTATCTACAAAATACATAGGAAGGCAATTGTGAGCTGAATGGTTTCAATAAAAAAATAAAGCCCAATGCATTGAAACACAGACAAGGATCCCAGTACTATGATCTGATTAGGAGCTACACTGTAGAGGTGAGAATAAACCTAGAGAATACAGAACGATAACACCTCCCGTGTTCAGGCATTAGCAACTGTTTTCTGTTTCACTGCTTATCTTTAATTTTTGAAAACCAAGCTCGAGATAGACAAAAAGCTTTGAATTGTAGTGATGTTTAATGTCCATTTCAGCTTATTTAACACGTCTCCACAAAAAGGTAACGACAAAATAAGCTAGAATATAACTCAGATATAACTCAAGAAACCATATACATGTAGCTATACCTATATGTCTTAGTCTTTACCATCTAGAAATGGAAAAGTGCATGAAGGGGAGGACCTTTTAGATATAAGAATTGTGTTTGTTGAGAAGGGTCTGGGGCTATAGGCTCTCACGATGTTTTCGGTTCAAGTTCTTGCACCTATCCTAAGTCCTTCCTATGTTATAATTTTCATGGTTGATCCTATATTCTATTATCCAATGAATAAAAAATCTCTAAGCGCTGAGACAATTTGCGCAGTGTCAACTGAAGCTTTGGTAAAAAAAAAAAACAACAACAACAACAACAAATGCTTTTCAATAAAAGTGTCAGGCAAAATTGAACAAAAACATCGATCATCAATGTTTAGGAGTTAGGAGAATTCTGTCCGGGTCTGGAAAATTCAGATTGGAGGATTCTATGAATTCCGTTCCCTGGTGTAATTAGAAAAGCAGTGATTTCTTTGTTAAGGGTGAGAAACATTACACCCCAAGAAAACAAATTAAAACTCAAAACTGTCTTCCGTGTTTCCCCTGAAGTTTGGCATGAACCCAACTGATTTAAGTAGACCCTTATAATTAAGATAAGCAACCTTTACCTGTTTCAGGGTGGAAGACTTAACTTACCAGAAAAAGACATTTGTATTTACAGGTGCCGCAAACCAGCTACATGCTTCCACGGTGGAGTGTGTCGGGAAATTTGTGATCTGAACACTGCAAGATTTAACTGCACTTGTCCTCAAGATTACACTGGTCAGTGGTGCGAGAAACCCTTCTATCCTCGAAACTGCAAAGACATCAGGAAAAATAGCGTTTTGATATCGGGAAAATACAGGGTTTATGACGCTCAAGATCAGCCATTTCTAGTGTACTGCGACTTTGAATCCGAACCTGAGTTTGCGCGGGCCCTTATTCAATCTTTCTCACTAGAAAACAAAGACCAGTTTAAAATAGTACTTAGTGTTGATTATCCGGTTGATGAAATTTCATTGGAAGTAGACTGGGCTTCACACCGTTTGTCTTTGTCTCACATGCAGCATCTCGCCTTAAACTCACCTGCAACTTCCATTCTGACGGCTTCAGTTACACAGACTACACACGCGCAGATTTGAAAAATCACGGCCTCTTTAACTCATGGTGGAGACTTTGTAAGAGATACGATTATCTTAACACCCGGGGGATTGAATGTCACGATCACAATGCAGCAACAAACAATCGAGATGGATCCTGTTGGCTCATAAGTAGTTATAAAAGCTTTACTGATTATGGTTGCGACTTCGATGGCAGACCAGGTATGGGAGACATTGAATATAATTTTGAAAATTATAAGAAGCTGAACCCTGAACATCGCTGCTCATCAAGGCCCAATTCAACAGCTGAGCACTGGTTTGGAATCAAGAGGGATGACGTGTAGATCGTCAAAAAAAAATTCTTCTCCCGCATACTGTTCTGAGTTATTCTTGTGAGTTACATCGCAATGGAGGAGATATGGTATGAACTACTTTATATTCAATTCTTAAGATTGTAAGAGGATCTGCAAAGAAATTTGAACAGATACCAACATCTGTGGTCCCTTGTTGTAAAATAACAACCAATCACCAGGGACTGCAAACAAAATATAGAAAGAGACAATGACAAACGTCATTCTAAAAGAACTGTCATTTTAATATTTGCAACTTTATATTTGTAATAAATCTCTTTCTCTTTCTTTTTAGTTAACGCAGTTTCTCTCTTAGAAAATATACAATTATATCGCAACATAGCGTAACATTATGTACCTGCCTGCTTTAACACATTCAAGATCTAACGCTGGTAAAACCGGCAATCAATTTCGTGCAACTTTCAAGTTTATATCGTGCATCTCAACAAGCGGAGAAGCTCAAAGGTCCCTATTAATCGAAGTTTACGACTGCAGTGATAACTCAAATCTAACTGCATGTGATTTCTCGATTGAGCATGGACTGCTTAACCGCTTACAGGCCAGCCATGTGATAAAGGCCGGTCAAACGTACTTTCAATCTTTTTTACAAGAAAAGGATATCTGATGAAGACATAAGACCGATTCCACAAGTGTACGGGAGTAGCGAATTTCAGAATTTCTGCAACGAGTCTCGTATCTAAGATCTTCAGTCTTCAATACGATTGCAAGTCGATTTCACAAATACGGTAACCTGACGGTAATTAAATGTAAAGTTTCAAATAGCGCTACTGGTCTTATCGAGCCTATCAATGTGCCGTAAAGATATTTCTATTTTCAGGTCATACGGACGTTTCGGACAAAATCCAAAATTCATTTGGGCCTTTTTCTTATCCACAGTCTTCAAACCCTCCTAGAGGACTTGTCTCACTGCTCGCTCCACTGAAAAACAGAAGCCTACAATACAGTTCAGCAGTTTAAGCAGGTGCTTCTTCTGTAGAATCGATTGCAGTAACCCATTCTTGTCCACAATCTTCCACTTTCTTTCGACGAGCGCCCTTTCGTATCTTCTTTTCAATAGGCGATGACGGGGGCTCGTTAGCCAAATCTGTTCCGTTTTCTTCTGGTGAGTTTAAATCGAGACTTTCAAAGTCTTTCTCCACTGGAAATTTACACCTGTATTCGTCAGACTCGAAACTAGAGAGAGGGTAGTCACGTGACCACATACTGACCACTTTTTCGTCTTCTCCATCTTCCTCATCCGTCACCGAGTTGTTTCCTTCTTCAAAGGAGTCCATTCTTTCATACTTGTGAACAGTTCGTAAAGCCAGAATATTGACTGGAAAATGAACCACCTTACTCGGCTTAGACTGAAAACGAAAAGAAAGAAGTGTTACATCATACCTAAGCTAACAAATGTCCTATCTACTTCATTTCGTCTTCTCTATTGTTCTTGTTGCTATTGTTGAGGTGTTCACAAATGGCTCTCAGTAGAAGAAAAAGTACAAGTGAGACTATGTGCTGTTATGAGGGGGTAAGGGTGGGTTGCGGCACAGCACGGGGCCAGGGTTAGATTGAATTCGCCTAGTTCCTGTACGGCTTTCTCCCAGGCCTTCGCGGCAATCAATTTCGATGACGTATCTGAAACGAGCGGCTCGGAGTAGCCGCACTTTTCGCCCTGGACCACGTGAATAGGAACTAGCCAAAGACTGATGTAGAATTTCGATGTTGCGGTCGTGTAACCTTACAGTTCAAAGGTCACGGTTGGTTATGAAATGTTTATTTTTTCCCCAGAGGCCACAAGAAAGGCCAGAAAAGAAGCATTTTTTTTCTAGTTTTCACTATAATGCCACGCCGAT